ACCAACCTGGGTGCCCTTCAACAGATGAATGAATACATAAAATGTGGAATATATACCCAATGAAATATTACTTAGCCATAAGGAAGAACTCATGTCATTTGCCCATAAATGAATGAACTGGAGAATCTAAGTGAAATAAGCTAATCCCTCCAAAGCAAAGGCTAAATGTTCTTTATGATATATGGATGTTAACACACAAAAAGGCAGGTAAGAATAGAAATTCATTGTATTAGATGAAGGGGAATGAAGGGAAGGGAGAGGGATGAGAATAAGAAAGATGGTAGAATAAATCAGACATCACTTTCCTATGTTCATATATGAATACATGACCAGTGTAGCTCCACATCATGTACAACCAAAAGAATGGGAAGTTGTAGTACAATATGTCAAAATACACTCTACTGTCATGTATAACTAAAAAGAGCAAATAAAAATTTTTTAAAAATACAGAGGCAAAAAAGATTGGTTAAGTTGCATCAAATCACAAAGTTGGGAAGTGGGAAAGGGCCAGATCTGGAATGCAGTTCTACTAGTCTGCAGACGTCAAGCTCTTTTAACCATTGCACAAATAGACATACCAGTAGCAGCAGCAGCAACAACAACAACAACAAAACAGTTAGTTAGGCAATAGGTAGTACAGTGATCAGAGGAAAACCAATACTACCTAGAGCCAGAAGAATCAGAGGATGCTTCATGGAGGGGGCAGGACTTGACTGGAGTCTTGAAATACAGAAATGCAACATCAGGAGAAACAAGTAATCCAGGAAGAAGGTCTTCTTTCCTCCAGGGTACAAATATGGCTTGGATGTCTCCTGAGTCCTTTCTATAAAGATCAGACTTGCTCAACCCTCAATAATGAACCTGACAATATTTTATGATCAGAATCAAATCTCAGCAATTCAAAGTGAGGAAAACATGCTTTCTTTCCTATCACTACTGGTCCTCTCTTCTCCTGCTGTTAATAATAATTTGGAAAAGGGGAAAATCTGCCCTTAAATAAAACCTAAGAGGATGATGAACTACTTAAAAAAAATTCATGGCATTCACTGTAGAAGAAAATGTCTCTGGGTTAAGAAACTGGGGCAAACTTACAGAAATAATTTGTGTCACAGTATGGAACTGAGTTTCAATTTATAAGTGGAAAAAAGTCATCAAGAAAAATGGGTGACAAGGGAATAAAATGAACCAGACAAATCCATGAAGGAAGGGAATCAGTAGGTTTTTAGCTTGAAGAGTTTTACTCATGTTTAGAGTAACAATACAGATTTTTTCCCCTTCACAAAATGCCAATGGAGTGGGGGATGAAAGAAGATTGTTATTCGTCTTTGCTTCCCCCCCCAATATAATCACATATGTGCAAGGAATATTTATTGTGAAACACTAAGTAACAATTTATCATGACCTTTGGCTTTAATTGCTTATTATCCTCAAGGATTTAGGAGGTCCCCATGTCTTTCTTCAGCCATCTGGCTATCTCTGATTCTGTCCATTCTATCCTCCCTGAACCCCACTCATCCAGCCGCCACTCCCAGCACTCCACTGATTTGACTCTCGTGAAGGTGACCTGTAACTTCCATGTACTAAGTCTCACGCTCTATGATCAGACCTCACTTGTCACAACAGGTACAACTGATACACTTGGCCACTTTATCTTCTCTTGTGTTTTCCTCCCATGGCTCCCAGGGCCATACTTTCTTGGTTTTCTACTTCCCTGGTTACTCCTTCTCAGTCTCTTTTTCCTGACCTTTTAATGTCACAGTGTGTCCCAAAGTACAGATTTTATTATTTTCTCCACCGACACTAACCTTTTAGTGATCTCAACTACTCTCTTGACTCTAAATGCATCTACAGCAGATGACTCCTAATTGTGTATTTCCAGTGTAGTCTTCTTTCCTTAACTTCAGGTTCAGATCTCGAGCTCCTTACTTGAAATCTCCTCTTAAATGCCTAATAAATATTTCTTAATAAACAGATCCAAAATTTGGCTTTTAATGCCCCTTTTTTCCCAAACCCCAGTCTGTCTGCTCCCAAATCCTATCCACCCACAGATTTCCATATTTCAGTGGATATTCCATATTATAGATTTTCCAGTGCTCATGTGTAAAACCTTGGAATTATCCTTTACTTCTCTCTTGTAATTGTCCACTTCAACTCTGCCCACAAAATCAGCTGGTTCTACTTTCAAAATTTACCTAGAATTTAACCACTTCACCCTCCTTGGTGGCTATACCCTTATCCAAACCTGGGTTTCTAGAGAGCCTTCTAATTGGTCCCCTTGCACCTGCACCTCAGAGTATATTCTCAGCTCAACAAGTGCTCCTTTTAAAACCTATAGATCGCTTCACTCCTATGCTTAATCCCTGTCTCACAGTAACCAAGGGCTCTCTGTCTCACAGATAACCAAAGGCAATGCCTTTCAGTGGCCCACAAGATCCTATGCCATCCCTGCTGCCACAATCCCTACCTGGATCACCTTGTTAACCCCCTCTCAACTATTTTTTCTTTGAATAACTGCTCCTATCACACTGACCTTCTTGCTGTTCCAATCTCACACACACACACACACACACACACACACACACACATCCCACAGAAAACACAAACACCCAAAACTGCCCCTTCCTTTACCCTGTCTGAATATAAGCAAAATGTGTTCTACAGGGAAAGAATCTTTCTTTTTTCTATAGGGAAAGAGTCTTTGTTTTGTACACTAACATATCATACAAGACTAGCCAGTGGGAGGAACATGATAGGTGCCCAAATAGAAATTGCCTAATGAATGAATTTCTAGCCTCAGCAAACTCTAAAGAGCTCAGCCATGTGACTGGCCTTGTTTCACTAAGACTCTTACTACATTCCTTTCCTTTGTTTCACTAAGAATCTTATTACATTCCTTTCTCTTAAAAACACTAAAAAAAAAAAAACTATTATGTACCACAGTAAATGCTTAATAAACATTTGTTGAATCAATTTCTAAATGGCACTGTCACTGTTAGTAGAAGAAATAAAATACCACCCCAAATATTGAAAAATATTGAAAAACAAAACAAATCACTGTGCATCATTCATCCATTTATCCATCCTAATGGATGGATTAATACTCATCTACTCAACACAAATCTGGGTAACTCTAATGTGCTATGACAAGTATTAGGGCAGAAATAAAAGACTTAGTCCTTATTATGCATGGGGAAAAGAGCCAAGAAACATAAAATTCAGTCTGTTAACGGTTTTTACAGAATGAAGCCCTAGATACAACAGGATCATAAAAGAAAGCATCCAGAGAGGCAGGGGCCATCAGGACAGTTGTGTGCCTTGAGCTAATTAAGAAAAGGGGTTGGTGGGGGGTATGGTGGAAGGAGGGAGGAAGAGCAGAGGACGCAGCTTGTTTGGAAGCACAGGCAGTATATAGGGATATGAACCACAGGCTGCTTGATGTGGCTAGAGTCCTGGAATTTATGGGATATGTGGAGGTAGAGGGGGGTCTTTCACTCATACTGCATAAAATTTGATTTAATTTTGAAGTTCAGAGGTATTAATTAAAATTGCATACTCAGGTTTGTATTTTAGAAGTATCTGGTAGCAAGGCCTTGAGAAAAACTATAAAGTTTTTTAAAAAAGTTTTTTAGACATCAATGGACCTTTATCTTATTCATTTATTTATATGTGGTACTGAGAATCGAACCCAATGCCTCACACATGCTAGGCAAATGCTCTACCACTGAGCCACCACCCAGCCCATAAACTAGATAAACTTTAATTCAGAGTTAGGAACATGGTAAAATTGATAAGATGAAGATCTCTGAGAACTGCAATTCCCTATCGAAGTAATCTGACCATTATTATTATCATTATTATTTACCTCCCCCACAGAGGACTCAAAGAAGAGAACATTAAAGGCAAGAGGTATGAAAAAATTATTAAATATCATGATTCAACTCTAAATCCTAAATAAAATGGAACAAAGAATAAACATTCAGGAAAACCATCCTCAGTGTCACTCTCCTAAAGAAGGAATGCTCAGTGAATCCAAGAGAGTATTTACCACGCCAAAGGAAATACCCAGGCCATTCATCATCCCCTCACTCTTTCACATTTTTCTTTTCAAAAGATACCAACACTGAATAGCTACTTGTCCCTTAGACTTCCAGAAATCCTCCTGGCATCTCAACAGTAGAATCTTTCTTTGTCCTTAAAGCAAGGGGGAAGCATTGCCTAAATCACAGGAATGGTGACCTCAACCAACCATTTAGTTTTGCTAAGGCACAAAAGGTCTTTCTCAATTGTCTTATTTCACAACTACCTTGCAAGCCAAGCCTTAGAGGTTAGTTTGGTTTGGGGGACCACTGTAGGCAGCTGGAAAAGAACCAGAATGTTCCCTGGCATTGCTTCAGCACTGAACTTTCACAGGTAAGAAAAAGCAATAGGTTCTCTGTTCTCTAGTTTCAATAATGCTGCCTTAGAATTTGTTGAGTGATTTTTTTTTCATCTCCAGAAGTATGTTCTCCAGAAGTTCAAAAAGGAGAAAAAAAATTCATGCACAAAGAGATCCTGGGTACAGGTACCATATACCTTTTATCTCTATTAGGATAGCGCTTGAAATTTGGAAAGTTGATGAAAATAAAAACAAACCAACAAAAAAATACTTCATATAAAGTGTGTGTGTGTGTGTGTGTGTGTGTGTGTGTGTGAGAGAGAGAGAGAGAGAGAGAGAGAGAGAGAGAGAGAGAGACAGACAGACACACACCTGGATATGTGTGTGACCTGTATGTGTTGTATTTCAGTATAAAATCCAACCAATCCATGTAAGGAAACTGAGGAGGGGAAAATGGAAGAAAATCTAAAATGAACAGAAAATTAAATATAATTCTAAGCACACAAAAAAAGGTTCATAAGGCAGGTCAGTGTGTGTGTGTGCGTATGTTGATATGCATAAAACACAGGTACTTGGTGTTATTTGTCTAACAGGCTATATATAAAACTAAGAGTCACTTTTGAAATGTTTTGCAAATATTTATTCAACTTCTAAAAATGATACTAACCTTTTGGAACACATTGTGGCTTTCAATAGTTAGTTTCAAAAACTTAAATACAGGGGCAAGACAGTGTGAAATTTTAAGTCTAGTATCAATTCCAGAATGTATTACAAAGGAAGTTTTCTTTTTTGAGTCCTTTCACTGATTTTCTATGAAGCACAGTTAAAAAGAGAGGAAGAAGGGGAAAGTTTAAGGATTGCTTGGTTTCCCTGACTTTAAATCTCTATCTCTGGGGAGAACTTCCTGTAAAAAAAGAAGTCAAGCTTGTTAGTATTTAGGTAATAAGAAGTTTTGGATCATTCTTTGAATCTTGTTACTTTTTCCTTTAAAAAATTACATACTTTTAACTTATAGTTTTGTGGGCAGGAGGAATGAAGGAAGGATCAAACTGGTTCTTGTCTTTGTTTCCCTAGGAATGATACATTTAAGAAAACCTAAATCAATTTGATGGTGTATAAACCAAACATAACAAACAGATGTGTGGGTGTATGCATACTCATATTGTAATGAAGTTTATATATATATATATATTTTAATATATTTATATTTAAAGAAAACAAAAAAATTCCCAAGATTTGTAGTTTGAGTATTCCTTATCATAACAAGTAACACATCAGTTTAAAATATGTAAAGCTGTGAAGTATTATTTCCTTTTATACATTTTAATTTTTTTACCTATTAAAAATTCTTCCAATGCCTTCCTCTGATATCTAAAGGCATCATTTTAAATAAACATATCATTTGATTCAAAATAGAAGTAACAATGCTAACAAAATTAACAAGCAGCTAGTTAGCTGGAAATCCGGATTTATTTCAAATAAGAAAAAAAAATTCTGATCATCAGGAGAAAACAAAGAGCAACTAAATTCCAAAAAGAAAAATTAAGGAAGTAATAGGGACTTAAGAAAATGTATCTGGTTTTCTCATCTGTTAAATGGGAATACTCATAGCACCTGCCTCTTAGGTTTTTCACGAGGACTGAATGAACTCATAAGTCACTGAAAAGAATGTCTTGACCCATATTAGCATTAATTTTTATTACTGGCAAACCTCATGATATTAGACCATCTCTCATATTTGACCCAGGAAAGCAAATACAGTCTTGAAGGGATCACAATCTTCTGAAAATCATGGTTGCCAAAATAGTGACTGACTTATTTCACAGAGGGAGTAAACTGAAGGAACTGCTCAAGATTTCTAAAATCTAGAAGCAAGAAGCAGACACCAGAGAAAAATCAGAATTTCTGATTTTTGAAGGAGGACACCTTAAAAATGAGGAATAAGACTTCTTCATTTTTCAATGAACTGGACATGAATGAAAGAGTGGAAGTTAAAGAAGGAGTCTACTCAGTGTAAGTGAGACTTTCTAATATCAAAAACATATTAGAAAAGGATAGTCTACCCTGAAGGGCAGAGAGCATACTACTCAGTATGAAAATAAGTGTTTCAGCAAAAAAGATAAATATTTCTTAGAAAGTACATTCTTAATAACAACACCAGTCATTACCACCACCACAATGATAGCTGATCATCTGACAGAAATCACTGAGCACTGTTCTAAGGGCATTACATATACTGATCCATTTAATCCTCACTACGGCCATCTGGTTCCACAGTCTGTCCTTAACCACCACAATACACTGCTTTACCTCCCAGTTCTAGAATCCTGGACAAGTTACTTAACTGCTCTGCATCTCCATTTTCTCCTTAAATAAAAAGAGCACAACAGTACTTACCTCAGATGACAATGATAAAAATTAAATGCATTAATATATTTGTTTAGCACCCAGAATAGTGCCTGTCACAAAGCATATACTTTATTAATTTTTATATAATATTTTTTGTGGTACTAGAGATTGAACCCAGTGATGCTCTATCACTGAGCTACATCCCCAGCTATTCTTATTTTGTGACAGGGTTTCTCTAAGTTGCCCTTACTGGTCTTGAATTGTGATCCTTCTGCCTCAGCCCCCTGAATCACTGGGATTATAGATGTGTGAACATTTTTACTTGGATGTCAAAGAACTCTATCTAGGTCACTGTGAACGTGACACAAATGAGGGGAATTCAAGGATTGCTTTCAAAGATGCTTCTCTAGCTAAACAAAATCAGCCATGAAAAATTATAGGAAAAACTGCTACATAAGACCAGAGTCTCTGCATATTTGGTATGGCTAATTAAATAAGGTAAGACCTTGAAAAAAAAAAAAAAGGCCCAGTCCATCAGCCTTTGCTGACTTCTCTGACCACCTTCAACACCTTTGCCAATCATTCAAACTATATTTTCAGCAAAACTGGACTTTACCTAGTACCCACTTAACAAATTCCCAAACCTAGTCAACTCAACACACTTCCTTTGTGCCTATTATCCAACTGCAACATGGCATCCAAAATGGCTGAATAAATCTTTTACTCATCCTTAAGTCATTTACATATTCTCAGAGCAACATTAAACCTTTATTTCACCTAAGCTTCTAAATTCACTGTCTCTATCCTCAAATATCTTAGATTCCTCAAATAAAAATAAAATAAAAAATAAAAATAAAACAAATCAGACATAAATTCTTTCTACTTTCCACAAATCTTCTCTGTACTCCTGAACTCCTGAAACAGCAAATCAATCCAATATTTACTGATGTTTCCTCCCAATTTTTAAGAAAGTATCAGAAGATAAAAAAGTCTACTGTCCTCCTTTCCAAGGCCAACTATTTCTTCTTTTCTCTGATGCTATCCAGGAATCGTAGATTACATCATCTTCCTCTGCTGGTTGTCTGGCAACCATTTCCCTATCTCTGACCTCTCTTGAATCTTCACCCTTTTTCTACTGATTCAAAATATACCCAGAGGAAAAAAAAGTTTTCAGTCTTATTGCCCTCCTAAGTCTTGACCTTTGCACCCAGTGTACTGCCAAATATATCAAGAATGGTCTCTTGCTGTAAGTGTGTAGTGGGCTGAATTAATAAATTGAATCACTGGAAAGCAGGTTTTTCTTGATTACAATCAGTCTTTCAAATATGTTTGAAGGTTCTGGCACCCAGTAGGCTTGGATTTGGCAACCAATAATTATTTTATATATAATTTTTTACACTATGTTTTACATTTTAGACTATGTTTTTAACAAACATAATAAAGGAAAATATTGCATAGAATTTTATTATATATGACAAACTATACTATAACTGAAGGTTGTTAATTGCTTTAGGACTTCTTGTACAAGGTTTATTGTAGATTAGCAATACTAATACCTTAAAATATTTTTGAAGGATAATTTTTACATAAACTACATAAGGAGCAATGATTGAAGTTATGAACAATACTATGGTAATGTAAATGACCACATAAACTCTTAGAGCCTTAGCTAATTTAAAACTTATCTATAAAAAATAATAAATTTATAGAAATAAAACTTTTCCATACCTTCAGGGAAAAGGATCTGGTAAAAAGACCTAAAATTGGAGAGAACATAATGTATTTAAGTAGAAGAAAGCTAGTCACTGAAGGTGGAGCACAGTAAACAAGGGAAGAGACAAATGTCAGATCCCTCCTGGCCTCCTAGGTCAGAATTAAAACCTTTTGGCAAACTCATAAGAACAACAGAAGCCAATAAAAAGCTTTAAGAAGGAAATGTTGGGAGATGGAAGGATCACATCTGCAATTTTAAAAGCTCCAGTTGCTTTCGAAAGAATGAATAGGTAGTCAACCAGAGTTGGAGTCATATATTTAAGAAGGAAATGATGATAGTCTGGATCAGGGTGGCAGCAGAGATGAAAATGAGGAATGGATTCTAGAGGATAAAATTAGTAAGACTTGGCAAGTAATTAGATATGGGGAGAAAGAAAGAGAGCTGTCAATGAAATGTGTGTTTCCTGCATGTATATACATATGTACATGGAAATGCAAAGTAACCCATCTTGTAAAATATATACCAACTTGTTAACAAAAATTACCTGTGGAACAAGATGATAAATTTTACAGTAACAGGGAGGCTTTTTTTTTTTTACTGTGTAAATATCTACATTGTTTAAATATTTTATAATCAGTAAGTTTACACTGCTTTCTTAAATTTACATGCAATAAAAAGAAAAAAATCCTGACTAAAAAGGATATGCCCTTTTATGGAGAAGGAACAACCTAAGAAAAAGCACAAAACACAAGAAAGTACACAAAATATTTAAGGAATATCAAGTAGTCTAGTGTTCGCAGAATAGGAAGGAAGAATGTGTACTGGGAAGGGGCTTAGGGAGGAATGAAGCCATTTTAGAATATGTCCAGATCATGAAGACCTTGTAAATCAGGCTAAAAAAAAAAATTCCCTAAACTGTAGGAAATGAAAAGGAATATTTTCAAACAAGAGAGTGAAAAATTCAAGTTTGTATTTTTCAAAAGATCGCCCTAGAGTCAGTGTGAAGATCAAAGAGAGAAGACAGGCAGGGAGATCACTTACACAAGAACTTAAGTTAAATCAAGGAAAACATAGATAGAGAAGGGGAGAGATCTGAGGTTCATTTAAAAAGCAGTTGACAATACTTGGTGATTAAGAAAGAGAAAGTCAAAGATGGTTCCAGTGATGACATCAATTTAGGCACTATACAAGAACAGATTAAGAACAGAGATAAACAACAACAACAACAACAACAACAACAACAACAACTTTGTTTTAAAGATGTTGAGGGTTTTAAAGTACCTCTGGAAGCAGATCAGGTATCAACAGGAAACTGAATATATAGGTTTGAATTGTGGAACACTGTCAGGACTGGAACACAGGAAGATTATTATCCAGAACAGAAAATTTTAAACATGGTCACAACCTTACCCTTGATAGGATTTCACTGAGGCAACTGTCAAGAGTTGACTAGTAACATTTACTCTCATAGTAATAAAAATTCTATGTGACTGTTAGTCTTCATAGGTAATAACCTTAACAAGTAAGATAGGGTTTTTGTCTTGGTATCTTGGAGTCTCTTAATTTTTTTTAACCCTTTCCATTCTTTTTATCTGCCTGTCTTTCTTTCTTCCACCCACCCATCTATCTAGTTAAGGAAAATAGATGAGGTATCATAAGGAAGTATAATATGAAAGTGATTTGCTATTCTTACTGTCTTAGTTGTCAAAGACAAAGAATATTCTACAATTCTACCCTTAACAAAATCTAAGTTAAACAATGATTTACCTATGTGATTCTACTGCTTTTCTCTTGCAAATGACCAGCCTTATTTAACCAACCTCCCCAAGGTAACCAAATCCAGCTAAAGCTTTACCACAGAGGTTAAACAATTCAGTCCTGTTGTTGCTCACTGTTAGAAACTGAGTCACACTGTACCTATGTGTAAATGACAGTGCCCTGTTACATGAGAAGTGGAAAGGAAGAACCTGTTGGCAAAGGAATAGCTGCTTCCTTCCTGAACAAGGGAGAGGCAGGAAAGTGACAGATGGGCAGAGCAAAAAAGCAGCCTAAAATTGCTCTGGCTCCTCATTGGCAAGAATGTCCAGAACTGAGGCACGATTGGATATTTTAAAGTATATAAATCATTGAGAAGCATTATCTGCTTGGAGGGGGCTCTGCTGAAGATCAACAGGGCTTCCCACATATCTATACTTGAAAAACTTTTAAGTTTGAAGTGGCACAAAGAATCTTACCTCAGCCTATACACAGTGAGCTAGGACTGCAAGGCACTGCCCCATTGCACTTTAGGATTATACCCAAAAGAAAGCACTTTCTGGTTAAAAATATTTTTTTAAAAGTTCACTTTCTATATCATAGTTATATTTGTATGATTAACTAGAATTACTAATAAAATTTCACTAGAAAACATTTTTCTTAAATATGGTTATTTTTACATATTTAATTTAAAAAGGTTTGTTGCAAACTTTTATAATTTGTTCCTTTATCATCTCCCCCTCCCATCCACTTCTGCACCCAGAAAATTAATACCCAAGGATTCCTGGGTAAAACAGACAACCACTGGATATGTTATAACTAACATTTTTAAAAAGCTGTAAATAGTTATTGTTCATCAAAAGAAAATTAGCAATCATTAAAAATGACATTAAAAATTAGTGTGGCCATAAAGTATGGAATTTTAAAACATCAGTTTACTATACTGATTAATTCAACATTTATATTTTCATCAGAACTTAATATTCCCATAAATAAATAGAGCTCTCAATTATTTAAAAAAATCAAGGGATAACATATGTATTTAGACATATTAGCAGCGTAAAATGTATGCTTCAACACACTTATTGGGAAAAAGTCTGAAAATATTACTACACTGAATTCAAGGGCATCCGCAGGAACCTGACATAGAAGTTCTCTAGAATAACATTTCAGGAAATTCCAAAAAAAGGGAAAAGGGTCAAATAGGAAATAGACTCAGATTAATCAACAAAGTTCAGTGCTTGCTCCAACTTGATTTTTCTGTCTCTCCATTGAAAAAAAAATAAAAGAAAAAAGAAAGAAAGTTTCAGAATGGGAGAATCACTTAGATGAAAGTTCATCTACTGGAATAAAGGGAGAGGCCGCTTGGGCAGGTGACACAGGAGAGTCGGTGGTAGTGCTGACTTTCGCTGGTGAGTTACAAGAAGACCCGGCACTGCTGCTGTTTCCATCCAGGGTATCTGAAGATACACACACACCAGGATCTGACAGCTGTGCAACGTCAGAAGAAAGCATGTTGGTGATGCCCTGGAAAAATCTCTTTGGCTGATACTCAGTTTCCATTTCACATTTTCTTTTCAATGGTCCAAGAACACTTGGTCTAATGCAGTTGATGGGACTCTGGCTTCTCCGGGTAGTAAATCGAGTAGTTGGGCTGGGAATAGGGCTTGGAGGCAATCCGTTGCTACTCACAAAACTTTGCAAGGATGGCGAAAAACACTGCTTTCCAATTCCCCGGGTGGGTGAAGGTGCTGGTGACACCGGAATGAAATCGATGCGCTTTGGGGAGGCGGATTTCTCCACATCGTTGTCACTCAGGCTGAAACTTTCCTCCCAGGAGTGGCTTATCTGCATTGCGGTCTGCACCTCTCGCTCGTGGACCGTCTCTCGGTTGATCAAGTCCATGCCTTCCTCCTGTTTGATCTGGTGCAAGCGGCTGCTGTGCATGCGGACGGGGGAGGCCGGCAGCAGCAGGCCGTGGCGGCTCGGGAACGTTGTGCTGTTCCGCCTGGCGCTAGGCGCCTCGGCCTGGAACACCGGAGAAGTGTCACTGAGGCCGTGGATCAGGGGGGCGCTGTTAGACCTCCTAAGGCCCCCGCCGCCGCCCTCCGCCGAGCTCCCGCCCGTACCCGGAGGCAGTTCCAGGTCCAGTTCCATCTTCTCCTGAGCCATGTCGGGGGCAGGGAGGCGGGGGCGGTGCTCAGTCAGGGCCCTAGGATTCCCATTCCCCGCAGTCCAGGGCCGCCGCCACCACCGATGCCTCCGAGAATCTGTCAGCAGGCTCCCCCCTCCACGCATGCGCGCCCCTTCGCGCAGGCGCCCGAGAGGCCTGTCCGGGGCGCCTGCTTAATGCGTAACTTTGGCGCCGCAACCGTAGGGGTGGGGCGAGTAGTGGTTGGGCCGTTAGTCTTGGTGTTTCTTCCGCAAATAGCTTTTGAGCTCTGGCTGTTGCCAACGCACGGTGCTGAGGTTATCATATTTGGGAGAATATACTTATAAAACAAATATGAACTCTGAAAGAGACGCCCTTGGTAATGTGGGGCTGTAGGATGGGGAACTGGGCTTAGCCTAATCAGGGAGGGCTTCCCCAGGAAAGCACAATCTAAAATCCGAAAAAGTAGGCAACATGGGTGCTCTGTAGAATGTTACTGGAAGCGCGAAGCTAGGGCCACAAGAACCCAAGAGGGAGGAGGAGTGCGGCCTGGTTGAGAGTGAGGGCTGGCGAGAGGAAGGAGGTGGTGACAAGCGCAGATGCTGGGTCTTTCTTGAGGAAACAATGAAAGCCTCGGTAGAGAAGCAACTGAAAAGTTCACTGACTGCATTCAGGAGGATAGATACATTGGAAGATTAGGACCTACAAGGAAAAGACCGAAGAGCATGGTAATATACACTAAGGTGGTCTATTGGAGAGGAGATGGAGAAAATAATAAATGTGAGAACTATTTAGGAGATTGGAGTGAGGAAGGACTTGGGATTGTATTGTTTTATTTACAGTCATTTCTGGCACAGACGTACTTAATGTTCATTAAGGATAAGGTATTAAACGAAAGGAAAACCCAGTAGTCCTCACATTTTACAAGTAACTGTACTTGCTCATGTAATTAAAACCTTGATACCTTATTAAAAGTGGATTTATAATTTTTCAGTGATTTAGTCAAGGTTTTCCCCTGCATACCTAATATATTCCAGGCACTGTGCTAAGAAATGGGCCCTATTATTATGGACTTGCAATTTCTACTCGGGGAGGGGGGGATAAGTAAGTATATAGACTATTTTTTGGTAAGCCTTAGGAAAAAATAAAACCAGATGGTGAGATAGAGCACTGCTGATAGAAAGCAGAGAGCAATTAGAGTTGAGATCTAAATGACAAGAAGCAAGTCACTAGGACAGCTAAGGACTGGGGATGACAATCAGAATTGATTGTGCTAAGGCTCAAGGCACCATGAGTATGGTGAGGAAGCAGGAAGAGAAAAAAGGACATAATGGGAGAGTGATATGAACGGATAAAGTGGTGTGATATCATTCTATGATGAAAAGCCACTAAGGAGTTTTAAGCAGGGGAATGATACTATCTGATTTATGTTTATTATTTATTTTTTTGAGATAGTATCATCTGATTTGTTTATTATTTATTTTTTTGAGATAGTATCTTGCCCTATGTTGCCCAGGCTGGTCTCAAAACTCCTGAGCTCAAGTGATCCTCTTGCTTCACCCTCTCTAGTGGCCAGTAGCTGGGATTAAAGGCATAGGACACTGTGCTTGCTTGTTGTGTGTTTTAAATAGCACTTTGGCTCTATGGAAAATAGGCAAGAATGGAGGCCAAAAGATGGATTAGGAACCTAATTGCAACAGTACAGGAGAGAATAATGGATTAGGGTTGTAGCAGTGGAGATCAAGGTGAAGTAATTGGAAATAAGAATATATTTTGGGAGCAGAATTTATAAGATTTGTAGATGTATGAAATTTAGATAGCAAAATAAATAGGATTTAAAGATGGGTCAGATTTTTGACAAATTGGGTAGATGGTAGTATCATTTACTGAGGAAATGAGCACATTTAGAGGTTGGAAATTAAGAGTTGTTTTGGTAGGGTTGAGTTGGTGTTAAGAGTCTGTAAACAAGTCAGGATGGCGCCTGGCAAATGTTGGAGTCTGTAAACAAGTCTGGTTGGTGCGAGCAATTAAGTGTGGAGATTCCTTATTGGTTGACTGATGTATCTAAGATAAGCTGTGTGGAATGTATAAATACCACTCCTGTCCTACAATAAATGGCTTCCACTCCTGCTATATCAATCTACACAAGTTGTTCGTGTCC